TTATCGTGCTTTAACTAATATATACTGATCATCACTTGTACTACAAATCTTGTTCCATTATTAATATTAGGTGGATTAAGGTAACGATAAAATTTCTAAATTAAAATTAAGGCAAGGTTTCACAAAAAAAAAAAACACGCAGTATTAAATATCCGAGTTATCTAATAGATGGATACATATATGTATATCACCCTTTTATAAACTCATTTATATATACTTTACTCTGAACACCTCCCATAGATATCTATGTCTAAATACCAAATTTAAAGTTCGTGCGACTTATGGTTCCGAAGTTATACCTGATAAAAAATTCCACGAATATGGGATGCGCCACGACCCCTTTTACAAACTCGTTGATATATACCCTCCTATAAGCACCTACCATTGGTATGCCTGCATACCAAATCTCTAGTTCGTGGAACTTATGGTGCGAAGTTAAGGCTGATAAAAAATTCCACGCCTACGGGATGTGCCACGCCCCCTTTTATAAGCTCATTCATATACAACTTACTATAAGCACCTACCATTGGTATGCCTGCATACCAAATCTCTAGTTCGTGGAACTTATGGTGCGAAGTTAAGGCTGATAAAAAATTCCACGCCTATGGGATGTGCCACGTGCTTTTTACAAACTCTTTTATATATACCCTCGTATAAGCAACTATCATTGATATGTCTGCATACCAATTTCAAGTTAGGTAGGCTTATGGTTCCGAAGTTATAGCTCATAAAAGATGCCACGCCTATGGGATGTGCCACGCCCCCTTTAACATATATACCCTCCTATAAGCAGTTACCATTGATATGTCCGCATACTAAATTTCAAGTTCGTGCGACTTTTGGTTCCGAAGTTATAGCTGATTCCACGCCTATGGGATGTGCCACGCCCCCTTTTACAAACTATGAGCACCTTCCATTGAAATGTTCGCATACCAAATTTCGAGTTCGTGTGACTTATAGTTCCGAAGTTATAGCTGATACAAAATTCCACGCCTATGGGATGTGCCACGCCCCCTTTTACAAACTCGTTTATACATACCCTCCTATGAGCACCTAACATTGAAATATCTGCATACCAAATTTCGAGTTCGTGTGACTTATAGTTCCGAAGTTATAGCTGATACAAAATTCCACGCCTATGGGATGTTCCACGCCCCTTTTACAAACTCCTTTATATATACCCTCCTATAAGCACCTACCATTGATGTGTCTGCATACCAAATTTCAAGTTCGTGAGACGTATGGTTCCGAAGTTATAGCTGATAAAAAATTCCACGCCTATGGGATGTGCCATGCCCCCTTTTACAAACTCGTTTATATATACCCTCGTATAAGCACCTACTATTGATATGTCGGCATACCAAATTTCAAGTTCGTGTGACTTATGGTTCCGAACTTATAGCTGATAAAAAATTCCACGCCTAAGGGATGTGTCACGTCCCCTTTATGGATGTTTAAAAATTTTACTTGTCTTTACTTAACTCAGACATGGGGTTAATGTAAACAAAGAAAATAGTTTGTCTCCTTTAAATTATGCTGAACTGAATATTTCGTCCTTTAAAGTATAAAACCGCGTATCGCCATTCTGCAAAACCGCGTAACTGACATTGGCTGCCAAAAATTGGATTTGCTGACACAAGCTCTTGACTCAATCCTTATCCATTCGTCCTGAAATATACTAACCAGAAATGCGATTGCTTTATAAAAAAGAGAACCATTTTGAAATATGATATGATATGTTTTTACCCTCTAGAAAATAATTTCTACAACTTCACATACGCGGTTTTGCATTTTGCTGATACGCGGTTTTGCATTTTAAACGACGATTTGTATTACTGTTTTATATTTTGAGTTGTATACCCCGAACGACATCGGGTGCTCTGCTAGTATATATATATATCTATTTCATGATCCACTGATCGGATCTAAACCAGATTAGTATGGGACCACCTCTGTGACACTACCTTTCCGATGCAAAATTATCGCATAACTTTGGACCACGTCAACCGATTTCGATAATCCTTTTTGCAATAGAAAGGTAGTGTCTCAGAAGTGGTCCCATACTAATTTGATCTAGATCCGATTATTGGATCATGAAATATATATACATATATATAGATATTTTTAAGTCGGTTTTATTTTTGCTAAAAATTACTTGTTGATTTTAAATTTTTGCAGATGCAAAGGGGTTCTTTTTTACAAACCTCTCTATATTTCTTTCAAGAACTGCAGATATTTTTGTTTTCCGTCCACGTGTTTCCACTTTTGGTTTATATTTTATTGCATTTTCCAACATTCTTTTAGAACATTTCAACGTCTCGGCTATTTTCCGGTACGAAAACCCTTTATTGTGAAAGTGTTTTATTTGTTCTCTAAGCTGAAAAGTGCAATGCTTTCCTCTGCCCATTTTGAGTGACTAAATTGTAGTGTATGATAAATTGTTTAGCATATAACTAAATTTCATTTTATATATAATACCTTTCGTTGTTTATAATATCTAAAATCCACACTATTTCAAAGAAACTTTTACGTAAATGTCCGCGTCCCTATTATTTCACACACGCCAAAACGAACTCACTTCACAAAATGATCAATAATTATGAAACGACGCAAAATATTTCCACATTCACAAATCCGTTGAGCCGTTCTTGAGTTATGCGATAACAAACGAACAGCAATTTATTTTTATATGTAAAGATTTTTGTCGAGTGGTGGCAAACCTCTTCAAATTTTTTTGTTTATTAAATTTGTTAATGCATTCTCAGTAATGTACATTATTGCAGCTTATGTAAATTAAATTCATTTTTTGATATTTGAAATAAGTGGTAACACATTCATTTTTCTTTACATTCATTTTACAGAGAGAAACACGCAAAATCGAATGGTGGCAACCTCTCCGAAATTTTTTTCTGAATTAATTTTTTTATGCATTCTCAGTGAAATAGCGTTATTGCGGCTCATTTATAATTATTATTTTTTTTTAATATTGCAGATATCTAGCAACATAATTTTTCCAATTTTCTTCTTACAAACCTTCTACAGACAGAAAGACACAAAATGAAATAAAAACGAAGCAAATCCGTTGAGCCACTCTTGAGTGATGCGATAACACATAAAAGCAATCCATTTTTATATATAAACTTTTTTTTCGAATGGTGGTAACCCTATCCAAATTTTTTTCCGAATTAATTTGTTATGCGTTCTCAGTGAAATGGCATTATTGCGGCTTATTTGTATTTTTTTTTCTGATATTGCAAATATCTGGCAACACCATTTTACCAGTTTTCTCTTTACAAACCTTCTACAGATAGAAAGACACAAAATGAAAGAAAAACGAAAATCCGTTGAGCCGTTCTTGAGTGATGCGATAACACACGGACAGCAATTCATTTTTATATATAAAGATTTTTGATGGCTCAATGACTTGGGCTTTCTCATGTATTTTTATTAATACAGGAGAATTATATGTATATATATAAGAATAACGATAAGTTATTAACATTCTCTACTACTATGAGATGTATGTCTTATGTTCTTTGTTACAGCGAAATCTAGTAGACCCAGAATCTATTTCCGATTAGTGGGCTTTCCANGAGTATTATCATCGAGAAAAATACTATCTGTTTTTCTTTTACACTAATATACAAAACGATAACTTTAGAATACTCTGTTGAACAAGAAATACTAACAATTGCAGTTAAATTTTTTCNCAAACGAACAGCAATTTATTTTTATATGTAAAGATTTTTGTCGAGTGGTGGCAAACCTCTTCAAATTTTTTTGTTTATTAAATTTGTTAATGCATTCTCAGTAATGTACATTATTGCAGCTTATGTAAATTAAATTCATTTTTTGATATTTGAAATAAGTGGTAACACATTCATTTTTCTTTACATTCATTTTACAGAGAGAAACACGCAAAATCGAATGGTGGCAACCTCTCCGAAATTTTTTTCTGAATTAATTTTTTTATGCATTCTCAGTGAAATAGCGTTATTGCGGCTCATTTATAATTATTATTTTTTTTTGATATTGCAGATATCTAGCAACATAATTTTTCCAATTTTCTTCTTACAAACCTTCTACAGACAGAAAGACACAAAATGAAATAAAAACGAAGCAAATCCGTTGAGCCACTCTTGAGTGATGCGATAACACATAAAAGCAATCCATTTTTATATATAAACTTTTTTTTCGAATGGTGGTAACCCTATCCAAATTTTTTTCCGAATTAATTTGTTATGCGTTCTCAGTGAAATGGCATTATTGCGGCTTATTTGTATTTTTTTTTCTGATATTGCAAATATCTGGCAACACCATTTTACCAGTTTTCTCTTTACAAACCTTCTACAGATAGAAAGACACAAAATGAAAGAAAAACGAAAATCCGTTGAGCCGTTCTTGAGTGATGCGATAACACACGGACAGCAATTCATTTTTATATATAAAGATTTTTGATGGCTCAATGACTTGGGCTTTCTCATGTATTTTTATTAATACAGGAGAATTATATGTATATATATAAGAATAACGATAAGTTATTAACATTCTCTACTACTATGAGATGTATGTCTTATGTTCTTTGTTACAGCGAAATCTAGTAGACCCAGAATCTATTTCCGATTAGTGGGCTTTCCAGGACATGTCACATCTAATTTATTGTGTTTGTTTATAACGGTTGGATTAATGAGGTGTGATCCCCCTAAACGTATGTTTTGGGTTGCAATCTCCTCCAGCCAAGAACCTATTGCCCAAGCTTTTTTCCGTGTGAGTTTGTGTCTCTTACTGATTCTTCATTGTTTCAACAGGCTGAGCCGTTATAAATATCCCAAAAAATTATATATAATACAAAGCTTAGAATGGAGCTAGAAATTAATACCAGCCATTGAAATATCTTAAAAGGCCATCTAAATATGAGCGGATGCAAAGGATAAAGTTTTGTTTTTGAAAAATCATTTTAAATACTTAAACAAAATAAATATTCGAATAAATAAACTTACGTCTTCTGCCAACATGAAGAAAAAGTTCACAACATGCTCTGGTTTTCCTGTAAACTTTTGGCGCAGTACAGGATCTTGTGTGGCGATTCCCACTGGACAAGTGTTTAAATGGCATTTTCTCATCATGGTACATCCTAAAATTGAAATTTAAAAACTAATTTAATACAACTCATTAAATAAAAGATAAATCAGAAAGGTATTAGCAGTTTGTCTAATAGAAGCGGCAAAATTAAAACATACATAAATGCCGACCCTAAAAAAATTTGAGCACATCTAAGTAGGCCGACCTCATCTTATAGTAGATTTTTGATGCTGATTTGAAGTGCATTTACAAGATTTTTCTACCACGTTCAGTTTTTCAGTGTCAAAAAAAGGCAAAAATGGCAATTTAAATTTTTTTTTAAGTGAAACTTAATCGAGTTCGGAGATGGTTGCGTTAAACATTTAACACCATATCATAAAATCTGTAGCGTTCGTTCGATTTTCAAAAACGCAGGGTTCATATTAAGGGGCTTGTACTTTGGGTGTGCAACATAGCTCTAGTTCCATGTGGCAACCCATGTTAGAAAATCGCATTTAAAATTTATCTGGCGCAAATGGTTGTGTTAAATATTCAACACCAAGTCACTGAGTTTTTTGAAGTGTAACTTCTTAGTCGAGTTTGGAGATGGTTGCGCTAAATATTTAACACCAAGTCATAAAATCTGTATCGTTCTCTCGAATTTCAAAAATGAGGTGTCACATGAAAGGCCTTGTAATTCTGGTGCGCTACGAAGCAGTAGTTCCATGAAAGGAGTTGCCACATGTTAGAAAATCGAATCCAAAATTTCTATGCCGCAGATGTTTGCGTTAAATAGTTAACACGAATTCATAAAATCTGTATCGTTCATTCGATTTTGAAAAATAAGGTGTCAAATGAAAGGGCTTGACCTGTAAATGCGTAATTTGATTTGAGTTTTTTAGACGGTTACCGGATATCAAATTCAAATTATTTACTAAAACAAATAAAGTATCCCAATATGGGTATCAAATGAAATGGTTTTGAATAAACGGTATGATGAAGATAAAGATAAAGATATAAAGATAAAGATATAAAGATAAAGATGAAGATGAAGATGAAGATGAAGATGAAGGTGAAGATAAAGATAAAGATAAAGATAAAGATAAAGATAAAGATAAAGATAAAGATAAAGATAAAGATAAAGATAAAGATAAACATAAACATAAACATAAACATAAACATAAAGATAAAGATACAGATATAAAGATACAGATATAAAGATAAAGATAGAGATAAAGATATAAAGATAAAGATATAAAGATGAAGATATAACGATATAAAGATGCAGATATAAAGAAACAGATATACAGAAAACGATATAAAGATACAGATATAGAGATACAGATATAAAGACACGGATACAAAGATACAGATATAAAGATACAGATATAAAGATATAGATATAAAGATACAGATATAAAAATATAGAAATAAAGATACAGATATAAAGGCAGGATATAAAGATAAAGATATAAAGATAAAGATATAAAGATAAATATATAAAGGTAAAGATATACAGATAAAGGTATAAAGATAAAGATATACGGATAAAGATATAAAGATAAATATATAAAGATGAAGATGTAAAGATAAAGATATCCTTCAGAATCAGAATTCGAGCTTGGCTTTAATAATGGAATGGCTAACAGTACGTCTTCTTCCGTAATCGAAAAGGATGTAATAGTTGGTAATGATGCAGAAAGAAATGTAGGTGATGCGACAATGTCGTGTTTTTCGTAAACTTTTTGAAAAAATTTTGCTAACAAATCGCAAGAATCAAGCGTGTTATCGGAGATAATACCATCATATTCTAAGCGAGTTGGAAAGCCATTTGTTTTCCTTCTGGAATCAATAAATTTCCAAAAACTAGTCGGATTGGATTTCAGATTCATTTCTACGTTGTACATATAGTGCCGATATAAGAAGTTATGAAGACAATCAAATTCTTTCCTTAAACGAAGAAAGTTTAGACGACTGGCTTCAGAATTATTTAATCTCAATTTTTTAATAGCTTTATTTTTCCTGTTCCTTAAATTGCAAAGTTTTGAATTAAACCACGGTGGCTTATTACCAGTCGTACATCGTTAAGTCCCAAAATATAATATATATACATATACTTATATGTATATTAGGGTGGGACGAAAATCTAATTTTTCTCAAATCCCTTGGTAATAGTGAATATATATTGCGTCATGAAGTAAACAACAAGCCTGCAAAACATTAGTATTTTATTTTAGTTGTAAGAGCCCGCGCATTGACCGCGAAGTGACCCACAGCACACTAGTCAAATAAGACCGATTTCTGTTAAAAATTCAGGGTTCAGCAAAAAGGTTTGTTGCATATTATTCGATAATGAATCCGGTAACGCAAATGATAATGTCAAATATCATTTCTCGCAGCCCTCTAGCTTATCTTTAATCTCAAAGTTATCTGTTTTCAATAAAATTTTAATTGTTCTCTTGATAATTGCACTGGCCTATAGTCAAAAGATGTAAAAAACAGAATTATTATTTCTGGCGGTCATTTAGGTCGCTTGTTCCAAATATTCTAATCTTTTTTTAAAATTAGCTATAGTTTGCGAGTTTTTGCAAATTTAGGAACAGTTTCGGTAACTCTAATAGAAAAGCCATAATTTTCCACCATCGTGGAAAAATTTTGTTTATGCAAATGAGTATGGAAACACTGAACAGGTACAACTTCTAGAAACAATAATTAGTGTACTTATGTTTATGCATACAATATAAAAATTGCAAATATAGTGAGATAACAAAAAATTTTGTTCAACATTTTTTTTATTTTAAAATAATTTGTTTATAATCTGAACGATTTTCATCATATTATTATCATAAATCAGTAACAGTAAGTCTCGACTTAAATTTGGTAATTATTACGTACCGATCGAGTAACATTTAGCAAAGCTATATTTGCAAAAATTAAGTGGATCTCCAGTTTTTTTCTTAAAAATAAATTATATTCAATTGTATAAATATTCTTTAAATGAAAGAACCGGATTACAGAAAAGTGTGCCACTGAGTGACTTTTTCGTTCAAGCAGAATGCAAAGCAATATCGTCCAATCGGAGAGTCCTTAAAAAGGATTTCCCACGATATGTTAAAGACTATTGCATTCATCTACAGTCACTTTTTCACACAATGGAATTAACTAAAATATTTATGTATACCTAAAACTTATTGCACATCCCCTACTTTCATATAACGGCAAATTTAGAAACCGCGAAGTATGTGCTTCTTCGGTGACTAATGAAACCATTCCGCACCAATTTTCAAAACTGCATAAATGGACTTAAAATGGGCATTTCCCGCCATAATTGTACTATGTTAATGTATTTAAATACTTATATGCTTGAAACTACTATTAACTTATCAACCGATTCCTTATCTCTGACAATACATGTTTGACTTCACTCACCACGATCTTGAAAACTGACCAAATCGGCGTTACCAAGTCCAGGGTCATTTTAATATTATATAACCATCCGAAAATATTAAAACGTTTGAAATAAATCTCGTCTCACTTTTTTGTATTTTTCTCCTAAAAACGTGTAGACTTATTGCAAAATGATAAATGAATGTGAGGTACTAAACTTAATAGCCTTTAATTTGATATATCGCCCTGTTTATAAAAATTGACGCATTCCATAGATGTTACAAGCCAAAGATTCATTTTCAAAATTCATACACTTTGATACGATTGCGCGGGCTAATGATAAGTTTTAAATTAATCTTTCTTGTCCAATAACAACTGGCTTAGACCTAAGACATCAAAATATTACTATTACAATACGGCCAAATGCCTTTTATTTTCCCCCATACAAAATCGTCCCAGCCTAATGTATATGTATAGATATTATAAAATTAAGTCCCAAAATGGCTTTTTGCAAGTTAAAGCTTAGCTGTCTGGGAAGGATAATTTCAACATTATTTGAATGAACCTATAAAAAGTGCGTGTCAATATGCCAAAATGTGCTAAAAAATCTTGAAATCGTTTTTAACCCTGTTATAAATCAAAAACGAATACATCGATTGAAATATTCCTTCCTTGCAGTTAAACTTTGAAATGATTACTTACGTTCTGCAATAAAAAATAGTTAGTTATATTCTAATATAACACAAATTTGTGAAACAAAAGTGATACTATTTCAAAAAAAAAAGACTGTTTGTGTATATGTTCGCTGTGTGCTAAATGTACCAAGCTGCGTTAAGCGGGAAGAAGCAGGCAAAGCAAAGATGCGTAAATGTGTGCGCTTACGCATGTTCATTTGTTTTATCGTTAGTGAATATGTTCGCTGTTCGCTAACTCCAGTAAACACAAATAATCAAGCAAAGCTAAAATTAACAAAGTATGCTCTCTGATTTCTCTATATCAATGCTGACCACACCAACACAGTCTCATTTTCTCGTGGTATTAGTGCGTCGCGCTCAGTTATGGTTATAGGTATAGTAAAATAATGGATCGTGGAAGTTTTTAGTAACTAATACTATTAGTTTATAGAAACTTTCAACTTACTTATAAATATTATTCGTTCAGTATTTTTGCGTATAGACCAGCATTTAAATTTCTATATCGATTTATTTAGATAGAAACAAATTATTCTAAAATATGGCATGCAATTTGTGCAATTTCATATTAAAATCATGGAACTTATTACACAATTATTGAACTTTGGTCAGCACGCAGTTCATTTAATATTTTTAATAATTATTTAAATGACACGGCATAAAATACAGATTGCTTATACTAATACGGTTATGCCTACGAACCGTATAACGGATATTGCGGCTTGTTGAAAGTTCTTTGAACAATAAACTCGAGTTCTTATATAGGGTCGCACTATTTGGTGTTTGAATAGTCGCAAATGCATGCAAACATCAATCTAAGAGAAACACACCACTTTTTGCTTTGGGTTCTTTTGTAAATTTTCTACACAAAATGTGGCAAGCGCGTGCTAAAATTATGAAGAAAAACAATCCACAGCCGAGCATGATGTTACCTTGGTGAAATTTGTAATCTGAATCGAAATTCGCTGTTTTCCTTCTGTGTACGTATACGAAC